AAGCTTGCAATTTGTCACAACTGCAAGTCCAAAATAAGCCGCAGAGGAACAACCGTAAAATCGTTTGGAACAGCTAATTTATACACTCATTATATTATAATTCATTCCCATCAAATACGCAAAGAGTAATCACAGTGACGGCTCGTCTGCCAACAGTATGGAGCTGGACAGCTAACGTTAACTGAGGTTACATTGACTTGCAATATGTTACGTTCAAGCTCTACTCAGTTAAAATGAGTACTCAGTAAAGTCTGATTATTAAGCTATCATGATGCTTTCAAATGTAATCTTGTAAAATGTAGTTCTTGGTGAGAAACTTGAACAAATACAGTTGTTTAAAGATGTTTTCACAGCAATTAAAAAAATATTTTGACCTGTTTACTTGCTCTAACCAGTTTATAATATATAATTAGAACCACTAATGCCAAAATATTTTTTTATCTAAGTAAATCTCTTATGTCCTAATTATTTGAATTGTGTTTTTATGCAAATAACCACTAAAGATGACATTAAAAAAGTAAAAGGATAACATTTAGAATTTTTGACGGCTGACACTGATTTATGGGATATGGTTCCAGGACGGTGGTGAAAAAAATCGATTCGGCAAAAAACAGAGTTGGCAGGTGAGACTTTAAAGACATCGTAATCGGCCAAGAAAGTTCAAGAAAGCATCTCTTGGACTTTCAGTTGAAATGTAATATTTTTTCTATGCAATATTGTTACTTTTACTTTAATAAAGGATTTAAATACTTCCTCCACACACTGACTTGCACTCAAACATATGCTCTCCACGTGGTGTTATCATAGCACTTAAACATCAGATGAGTAGATTAGTTTTTTAATCTCATTCTGGATCTAAGGCATCCTACACTCCATCCACTCAACTGTAAATAAATGCTAACACAATTATCAGATTACCCTTCATCCAGAGCATAGAGTAACTGCTGAGGACAGTAACTGCAATGATGTAAGAGTATCCCTGTAAGATAATTGCCTTAAGAGGCACTATTTTAATGCAATGTAAAGGCTCACAAAGCTCAAGGGCAGATTAAAACACTTTTCCTGTTTGCAGTATGTAATATACAGTATGTTATTTGGTTGTCACTAAAAAGTCACACTAAATGTAAAGACTGCAGTCAGAACGGGTCTATAGTTGGGAAAACTGTCCCAGTGTTTTCTCCATGTCTTTTTAATAGGCTTTTCATAAACTGGGCCAAGTTTAATTGAATTGACAGAAACAGATTAATCCCAGAACTTTTTTTTTTTTTTTTTTTTATATTCTTATGAATATATACTGCACTTCATTGTACTAGTTGGAAGAAAGAAACAAAAAAGTAAGATGGTATTAAATTGTACAAAATGACATTTGCAATGGTTTAAGCATGATGAGTAGATGATATGGTATAGGCCTGCTATATATTCATTAGGATGCTCTGTAGTGCTGCTATAATGTATACCATAACAGTGGAACAGTGAATTTATCAAGGGAATGTGTTCCAAAGTCATCTTGTCAACTAGTTTTTGTTTTATGATAGCGGTTTAAACTGGATTTAGTGTCCTTGCCCATGCACAGGGACTGGGTGGAGCTGAGCCAACAGTGAACACAAAGGGGACGATCTCTCCCTCTCTCTTTCGTCTGTCACCATAACAAATATATTTATATGCAAATAAGCCTGTGAAATAAAATGATTCAAATAGCTTGATAGGAAAATGTTATATTTAATATGTAAGGTTTGAGTTGTTGATGGGGGAGAGGGGAAGAGAAAAGAGAAAGAGATAGCTGGAGATGCATGAGCATGCGGGCGGAGGTGGAAGTGCAATTTAAAAACTGTCTCGTCCCGATCTAAGGTACAGCAGACTGGTGAATTGCATGTAGCACTCAGATTTGACTCATGGATCTTTACGTGTGATACGATTTTAGTCAAAACAGAAACTGTGGTGACGGCACGGAATGACTAGACTGAAATCTTAAGGTTAAAGCTGCATGTGGGCCGGATAAACACTGTAAATCAGTTAATTCATTAATGATAATTTGGTGTTGGCTGCTTTTATAATCTGCTAGCAAAATATTGCATATATTTTAACAAAATGCATCATTGTAGAATCATAAAATGTGTATTTGCAAGTGACAAATTCTTTGGGAATTAAGAGGGAGCTCTCTCCAAAGCGAACACTGTGATTGGCATGTGCTTGGTTCTGTTTCTCTCTTCTGTTTCTGTCCAAATGTGGCGGTTCCTGCCACCTGCCTGTTCCCTCTGTTTGTCTGCTTGTGTCTTGCCCGTTTTTTTCGATCTGTTTCTTCTGTATCTGTCTTTCTGTTTTCTTCGTGTTTGTTTCTCTGCTGTTTGCTGTTCTTGTTTTGTTCTCCCTCCAGCACTGCCTGTTAATTAGAAATGTTATCAATTAAACGCTAGTTAATGTTGTGCATTAAACCAAATGATTGTGAAGGGTCCATGCAGGCTGATAGCAGACACCTGATAGCATATAGTAAATAAAAAACATAGCACAAAAAGTAAGGACATTTGTGTTTGGTAGATTATTTCTTTGTTGTAAAAATGCTTCTTGGCAATGAATCTTATACCATTGGAAAGCCTGTTTATTTCCCTTTTAAATGGTGCCACATTTGTAAGGAACATGCATTTGTGGGATGAGGTTGCGCCCATGAACAATTTGCCAAATTTTCTCTGCCAATGCCAAACAGCTTATTCTGCCATTGACTCTTGTTTGGTGTCGTTTGGTGGATTGGATGATTGAAGTCTGAAGAAACAAGTCATATTGTCAATTTAACAATTTATTCATTTAACAAACAGGAGCAGGAAGCGGAGGCTAATGTATAAGCAGAGAATCAATGACAATATGGAAAAAAACAGGCATGTAAACTGTAAAATGTGTTCAATCAAAATGAAAATGTACCACACTCCTAGAGTGATATAAACAATGTATGCAAACACATACCAGCGGATGACATGCAGCGCTGGAATTGAGAGCTAACAACCTATTTTAATGGCCCTCTTACAAGACATCACATGATGTCAGAAGCAGTCAGAAGCAAATGTCAAAAATGGTTAATTTGGTCCTTCTGCCAAGCAGCAATATAAATACACTAATAGTGTACATCTCTGTCTCTTTCTCTTCCTTATCTCTCATCTCACATATGCACACACAGGTGGTCTGGCCATTGTACCAATACAATCAATGGCACTCTGCAGGGGGCGACTGTGACTCATTGGTGGAGCAGGGTCATCCTTCAGTCCATGTCCACGTGTCCTTGGGCAAGACCCTTAACCCCAAATTGCTCCTGCAGGCTGTTCCAGGGGTGTGTTATGAAGTTAGAGTTAGTCCTGATAGGCGTGGTAGCCCCTGCCATCAGTGTAGGAATGGGTGTGAATGATGACATGTAGTGTTAAAGTGCACTAATGTTTTCTTTTTTCAGGTTCTTATCACTTTTATCTTCAGCTGTAATTATATCACCATCCTTTGTGTTAGCTGTCTTTGTTTATTTTTTCGTTCTTCAAACATTATGAATGTTAACAAAAGTCAAATTAACAATAATAATGATGACAAAGAAAATAGATTAAACACAAAATGAGTAATGATTAAATCTTTTGTTTGTAGGCTCTGTGCAAATCCTACGTGTAGCCTGCACAAGTGGTCGACACATTTATGCTTTTGCGCTGGTCTGTCTGCGTCGCTCTGCAATTACACCACCAAAATGCTAGTTGGCGATAGGTTTTCTGTGCAACTGTGTTGAGTTTTTTCTTGTACTTCAAACAATGGCGACTGAAACCAGACACAGTTCTTTGCTGGAACTGAGCAGATCATGTTGGAGTTGGAGCTAATAAATCTAATCAAATATGAATAAAAATACTGTTACTGCGTTACCTATTTCTTGCCTCAAATGTTTTCAGAATCATGTTTGGTGTACTGTTTAGCTGTAATATGAGAATGTTTGTGGCTATACCGGTCGGAGAAAACCGGACCATTTGGGTTCCACCCATTTCCGCTGGATGTCTCCGCCCTTACATTAATGGAGAGGTACCTGACAGGCTGCAGTGGAGGCTGAAGCACAAATCTACAGTTCACCTAAAGCGCAGCTTCAATGCAGAAGTATAAATTGGTCTTCAGAGTAAAGGGTGTTTGAGGCTCTACAACTTTTAGGGTAAATTGGTGATTTTAGACTACAAAATAAATAAAACTTGACTTGACCTGAATTAATCAGTGTTTTGCACTGATGAATGAACATAAAATTGCTCTAGAATTAGACTTAATTGATGTTATTAACTGACTCTTCAAATCATTTCCTGTGATGGGTAGATTGGTTCCTCTGCCACATCTCAAACCTTAAGTATAGAATATGGTGTCTGGTTGTATCCATCTTATGACTACCACTGACTGATCTGCCAACTTTCCCTGCACACACACACACACACACACCAACAGAGTGTGTGCTGAAAAAAAATCTAAAGTCAAGCATGATGAATACAGAGGCTGACAGGCCAATTATCAGATGTACTTTTTGTTCTGCATCCCCTCCTCTGAAGGGAAGCAGATGTGAAAATCCTGTCGCTTTCACTCAAGCCGGTGCAATGACATGGCCCAACAACAAAAGGCACAGCCTTCACAAGGAATCGAGATGGACAGAGTTGTAAACATTGTCTTGTCAAACTGTTTTATCTGGTGGGTTTCCACATTTCAAGCTTCGGAAGATGTGATCTAGTGTGGCGATGTTTGTCAAAAGTTGAAATACGTCTGACTCTCCCCGCCCCTGAACTTTCAATTGGGAATTACATTTCTTACTATTGATGCTTGGTTTCTGTGCAAGCCTCACAAAATTTTGGAGAAATAAAGAAATGTCAAAAAATGTGGTGTGCAATATTACTGTTTTATGACCACTTCTCTCTCCCTTTTAGGAATCATACAGCATGTTCTAAACCAACTATTAAGGTTTAATGAGCTTGAAAAGACTTGACCTAACTGAGGAACTTCTCTTTGTTTCATAGGTGAATGTAATCCCAGCATGTGTCAGAGCCTTGACCAAGATGCTGTACTGTCCATACTGTCGCAGCATGCCGGGGCTGAAGCCCTGTCACAACTACTGTCACAACGTTATGAGGGGCTGTTTAGCGAACCAGGCAGACCTAGATGCTGAATGGAACCTCTTCATCGGTAAGAAATAAAACATTCTGATTCAAATTGAGTGCCCTTCCACCTGCTTCTCGTTTACGCTTTGTAATTCTTTTCAAGGTTTGTGTGTCCGTCTGCCTGCCTGCCAGTGTGCACACTTGTACTTCTGAGTCTGCATGTTACTTTTCAAAGGCAGTGTCTTTGAATAGTGTCTGTGGGAATTCAGTAGGATGTGTCGGCTGTGTCGGATTCAGCTTTAAATAATTTACAGAGACAAAACTGAAATCTTATTTGTGAAACCATTCCTTCTTTTTTTCTGTCTGAAATGTTGTTTGCTGTTGCTGGAACCATGGCATAGTGCTTAGAGCTCTGGTCCCTGCTGTTTAGGATTGATAAAGGAGAGCAGATCCTAGGCAAACACATTTTCTATAGTGTTTCCAGCTGAGCTCAGTGAGTAATATAGCACTTCGCTAAGGCTGTAAGTAGCTGGATGCTGTAAGCCCTCCTGTTAAATGGATACCAAGGAGGCACATAGTGTTCCCTCTGGATCTTGTAGGCCAATGCTTTATTTGTTATGTACCCCAATCCCATCCTTCCACCCACACTAACAGGTTTTTTTTTTCTTTTTTTAAATGGGGCAACATTTTTTCAGAGACGTCCCTGAAGACTGCGTGTCAAGTGAACTGCACTTCTAAGCTTTTGGCTGTTTTGTGACAGGCCTGTCATTTGAGAAACCATCAGATGACGTACCGCTTGTTCTCTCCGATGGCATGTCTGAAGTCTCAGATCAACACAGGCCCCCATGTACTGAATGAGATGTCTCACAGCTTTATGACATGTGTTAAAAAGTTAGTGTCTTGTTCGGTTGTGAAGAGCCAAATCTATTGCCGCAAAGGGACGCTCTGCTTGACTGTAATGGAAAAAGCTGTTGTTGCAACAGAATGATGAATCTGGTCAGAAAAAGACACCCTTGGGGTGTTAAAAAAATGGATTTTTAATTTTTAACAAATTTTTGGTGCAGACTGTGTTTTTAGGTTTGGAAAGACAATGTTGAGGGTATTATAATTAGAAATATATAACCCAAGGAATCGTTTGTTTTCTCCATGAAAGACAAATTTTTTGATGTCTACTGACATTTTGTATTCATTATCTGTTGCTAAAGAACTTCGGGTTGCTTACAATGCAGCTTACAAGAAATATTGATTTACCTTTCAGAGATAACTTCTACATTTATCACAGGTCAGTTCTCGCCTGTGGAGCACATCTATGCATTATAGAAATGTATGGATTGAGCCCATACGCAGTCTGTCATTGTCATCCATTCAAATCATCACTTATTAGTGAAGGTTAGATTGGAGGCACAGCGTTCAATTTTTAAGAACCCTCAATGACATCTACCTGTGGACTTTGCTCATGCTTAAATGTCATTATTGATACCATTGATTTTTAAGACCACAGTATAAAGGAAAGTCGAGGCTTTTTATTTCGTTTTAATCTTCATCAGCAAGGGACAAGATGAGTTCTGAAAATGGTCTGTAATCTTTATAAATCTGAATCAGGGACATTTATGTAACAAATAATTTTTTGGCTTTTATTAAAAACTGAAAAAAATAAGTGCAATGCCAAATTGCCTAAACTAATACTAGATACATGTGTTTCTCTCTAATGCACATAGTTGCCTCATTCTTAGTGGAAGACTGTTGCAACATCTATTTTTGGAGAGAGATTTCTAAAGATAGGACACACTAAATAAAAGGTTGAATGATTCATACTATATTTACATTATAAATGCATGGTTACATTTAGTTAAATGTCGTAAAGTAGTAAAAACAAAACATGTTCAGTTAGTTACCTTGGATTCAAATTCAGTGTCAAACTTTTTCTCTAAATATTGCCATTCCTTCGTTCTGGTGTGAAATGACATGCTCACACTCTCCGGTCAAACATGGAAGATGTGTTGGTAGTTAGCATCGCAGGTCCATGTGTTTAGCTATTTTGTACCAAGACAATTCTTTTGAAGACTGTATTAGCTTTGACTACCACAGCGCAACACGTAGCCAGCAGAAAACCCCTACAAGGTTCAAATGGATTAACTCTTATGTGTAGAAACTCACTAGTCTTGCAGAATCAGTGCTACTAACAACCCATTGCACAACGCTCACTTTTCATTTTAACACCAGAGCTACATTCAGTTATAAGGTGCAGTATATTTACTGACCTACAGACATGCAACATTTATAGACCTTTTTTTTTTAAAGAAAATGGTGGTGCAGTTATTAAATGAATACTGTTTGCTTTTAATTTAAGTAAGCCGGTTCTATGACCATTCAAAATGGCTGTATCTAATCTTAAACTCTGCATGGGGTATGTACAGCACCTTGTATGGCTACAGTTTATTTTATGGAAATATGAGAGAGGAAAACTGAAAATGAACACTGCTAAGCTTTTTTTTACCTCTTTATTTTACACTGCTATACATTTTTTTCTGTCTCACCCTAAAGTACCGTTGACATTCACAAGTACTTATGTAAAGTTTTTTATTTATTTTTCACATTACTAGATAAAATGAAACATTAAAATACTTTGATGTAGCCTACATTTCATTACGCAAAAGTAGAATGATTACAGCATCCGTGTCATACATTTCAAAGTTGCAGTCACAGTACAGTAGTTTACAGTTTGTAAAGGTTGCCGTAAGGAATTCAAGGCTTTCAGACTGAAAATGGAAGACAGACTTGTCTGTGAACAATGAGGATAAACCTGAGGAAGGATGTGATTTACCTGCTCGTACCTGAGCTTTTGTGTGTGTGTGTGTGTGTGTGTGTGTGTGTGTGTGTGTGTGTGTGTGTGTGTGTGTGTGTGTGTGTCTTTGTTTAAATGATCAGGGAAAGAATTCATCGTTTTGGCCAATGGGTGATACCAAACCATCAGTCACCTGCCATCATGACAAATTTACCCAGCTCTGCATCATGACAGACACGTCATTATCATTTTTCTTGTCAGCACCTTGTTAAAATACCCTCAGAGAGCGAGGGAGAGGGAGGACACGTGCTGCTGTTCTCACAGTACTGCAGGTTTTCAGGCTTACATCATGATTACTGCCATTTTTTTAATTTTTCAGCTGCATATTGGCAAAATTAATGGAAGGTTTTGATTGAGTCTTTGTAAAGCCCAAACCAAACAGTGATCTTCCAATCATAGCTTTTCAACCGTAACTGGGCACTCTGCCCTTCAGGCTGTGGATCTCTCCAAGCGATGTGCGTGTAGCTTTAGTAAGAGCAATACTTCATCGAAAAAGTTTTAAGGGTTTTAATGGTGTTCCAAAAATCAAAAACACAAGAGCAGAAGTGTAAGGATTGTCTTATCTGCTCTAACTTAAGCTGCAATTGTTGACATGTCCTGCTCACTAGCTTACTACCAACAGTAGTAACTGAATGCCAAGCATTAGCATATCATTAACTAAGTTACATTACTTTGTGGGATTATGTAAAAGAATCTACCATATAGTATTAACACATCGTGTAAAAACTGGTCCTGGATGCTGTCAGTTTAGGCTAACGGTAGCAGTTGTTCAGGCCTCGAATACGAAAAACAACAATGCTAGGTCTACAAGCCATGTGGTGGTCCCACTGGAGCTGCTCCACATGATAAAACTGGAAACTGAGTCTCAAACATGTTCTGGGACAGGTTTGGGAAGGTGGAGGTGGATCTGTTCGCCTCATAAGAGAATACATAATGCACACTGTGGTTCTCCACCAACACACACAATCACCACTAGGAGTGGATGCATTCTTTCACCAACCCTGGCCCAGATTTCTCCTGAATGCATTTCCTGCAGTTCCTCTGGTTCCTTGCCATTTGGCCGGCATTCAAGAAGAGTCATTCAGGTTGCACAAGCATGTCATGGTTCTCCTCCATGGTGCAACTGCAGGGGGGCAACCGTGGCAACTCCTATGGCTCAGAGATGCATTGTCACAGCTGGACAGTGTGATCCACCACCTCCTGAAGATAGACCAGCGACTATGGGCCTAGCCACTGAACGGGCTTGGAAAGGTCAGGGCTGTCCCCTTCTACTACAGCGTGTTATGTGGGTAGATGGTCTGCTTTTCAGCACTGGTGTGTAGAGAATAGCTCAGGTCCCACGTCATGTCCCTTGCCTCTTGTGTTAACCTCTTCAAATGTTGTGCTGCGAAAACTTGGGGGTCCCCCTTTTGAGCCTTTACCCCAAATCTCCATCAAGATCCTATATTTCAAGACAGCGCTCCTCCTAGCTCCGACATCGGCTAAAAGTGCGAGTGGTCAGTCTAGCTGTCGGTCTCGCCATCCACATTTCCAACAATGTGCCTTTAATCCGATTATCACTGATTAGTGGGGCTGCATGGGGACCATTGGGTACAGAATTGCCGGCCCCGCTGAATCTTGCATATTTATTCTCCACACAGGGCTGTGTTAACCATGACACAGTTTGTGCCTGTTAGCCTCTTTTACGTGTGGCATCTACTGTTTGTGAACTGATGTATGTTGTCTGCTTGTGGACAGTGGTGTCACAATGGGGCATAGACTACATCGGATTCCAATTGCTGAACCGAATAGCAACAGCCTGTAGAGGGTTATGCCTATAGAATGTAGAGTTGCGTTGAGAAATCCACAGAAAATGTATCTGCTATTTTAAATTTATTTCCCCTTTTTCCAGCCATCTATTGTTTTCAGTTTGTAATTTTTTTTTTATACATACAACATGCCTGTGAATGCATTATTTATCCCACTTAAGATATAGGCTTGTGTTGTAGAAATCAGTCCATTGATACCACAGTGTAAGCGATCCTCATTGATTTTATTCGCTCATTTCTTTTTAATTGCATGGATTGTGTAACTGGACCTCCCCACAACCCTCCAGTTCATGACAATTCAAGGCAATATATTGTTTTGTCCTCCAAAAAAGTACTTTCTTTGGTGTCTGTGAGATTATGAAGATGAACACCCTGCTAGGGCTTTACTTTAAATGATAAAGATAGCTTGGTAGAAACTAAGCTTGCACATTG